CACCAGGGCTTTACTGGGCTTTACTCAAAACATCGGACCTACCTGTTTCTTATAGGTATCTTGGTTCATACCTGCATAGGGTTTACATTATACCTACATTGACATATCCACACTTAAAAAGCTTAGATCCTGAATCACAGTTTTAACACAGTCACAGTCTCACATAATCACAGTCAGTCTTCATGTAAGAAAAGCTTGCAATAAAAGTTTCATGCATATGAAATATGGGAGTACATATGAAACATTCATTTATGTAACATATCAAACATGGCCCTGTTTCACCGGTGATAGCAGCACGCTGCTATTACACGTGTCAAATTGGGTTTCCATGGAAACCATCAGCAAACCACGATGCTGTCAATCTGTGTGATGTCATCAAATATTGCTGCTAACATCTTCACGGCTGTGCGATCAAACAAATGTATCAAACGCATTCAACCAGACAGCAACTCTGTTCCAAACGCCGCTATGAAAAAGCTCACGGATTACACGAAACGTCATTAGTGTAACGTCATCACATTACGTCAGCTCGCGCAATTTGATAGCAGCGTGCTGCTACCTATCACCGTGAAACAGGGCCCATGTATAGTGTTTGACATTTGTGACTTGGGAGTTTCACCTTAGAGCTCGGATATTACTATAGCAGCCGCTGGAGTACAAGTAGTCTAGAAAGCCTCAATCCTCATAAAGCAAGTGGGCCTGATCAAATATCAAGTCGTGTTTTGATTATTGGACAAACAAATGTCCAGACAAAAAAAAATCATTGGATGAAAAAAATGCACAGACAAAGAAATACACAGACAAAAAAGCACATATCAAAAATGCACAAATGAAAAAATGTACAGTCTGTCTTAAAAGTACCGCGCAAAGTGGCGGTGGATCCATCAAGCCTGACCAAGAAAGGGTCTGCTTTAATTTGAAAGTCACCGACCATTTGACCTAGGGAATGGACGAGGATGTCAATTGCTTCGGTGACCCAAATTTGGCAGGCCCTTCCTCAGTCAGGCTCGATGGATCCACTGTCACTTTGCGCGGTACTTTTAAGACAGACTGTACAGATGGAAATTATGACACTAAAATAATTGGATGAAAATCTGCAGACAAAAATCTATCCAACAATAAAATATTAGATGAAAATCTGTCAGGTCATAAGTTTGTATTGGGTTTCCATGGAATCCAACAAATTTGGATGCTCTAACACCTCAACGTGGGAAAGCATTCAGGACACCAGAATGCCCTATCTGGTAACTGGTTGATATTGTCTTGGTCAGGAGACGCTTTATGTAAAAGTAGATTAAACGAAAAAGTTCACTTTGCTGAAACTAGTATTTTAGGGACGACAGTGAAAACAGGGCGCCTGGGGCGATTTAATCGAGATTCATGAAGTTTACACGTGACGTTGAGCATGTAGAAGGCCCACGGAGGGGGAGAAGTTCCAAATGTCACGTGACTAATATGCCCTCCGGCGCCCTGTTTTCACAGGCGTCCTATTTTAGTACCTATGGATTTATGATTTTTTATGCTCAAAATGATAAGAAATACCTGATAAGATAGGACTAGGAAGGCTCTGTGGCCTGGTCGATCCTCTCTTGACGAGCTCCCAGCTTTTTGAATTGGATGACCTTTTATACAATAAAAACTTTTTGTAAAAACATTATTTTCTATGTTTTAATATATTAATAATTATATTCCTTATAAAATAATGTTTGACGTAGAAGCTTATTATGCGTTAACCAATCATATTGCATAGTTCAAACCTACGGATACTGCATTGGCTGTAAGCAGCATGCTGATTGGCTGATGATGACATGGCTGCATTCCTCTGCAAGGCGCTAATTCCTCTGTCTTTTTGGAACGAGAAATGGAATATCTTCATCTAGGGTGGTCATTGAGCTGTAAATGCCTCTGATTTGTGCTAGTCCCAGCAGCTACAAAACTGCTATTCCAGTTCAAAATTCCATGTTAAAAGTGAACTATTTCCTTTAATGGCACAAAAAGGTAGAAGGTACCCATTTTTTGGCGCAAATTGAAATCATGAAAAATTTCAGCGCAAAACCCTGATCCCGTGCGCCGAAAGCACCTCAACCTTGTAATTGTAATGGCCGAAAGAGGGTCTCACGCTGGGTCTAACGGACGTCCACTAGGGTGCATCAAACGCCCCGATGTCTTCAAATCGATCTGTCTGTTGATTCAATTTGTTCCACTAGTAGCACAATGACGCTGTGCAAAATTAAAATTACATCGGATGTCATCTAGGGGGTCCGCATCAGCTATGAACATGCTTCATCACTTAACCTTCCCCGATGGAGGGGGTTTATACGACCACTGCTGTTTTTGTCGCGATGGGTCGAAACACGTCGGATTAGGGAACTTTAATTTGACTTAGCTGACCTTTGATACTTAAGCCTGAACATTCTTTATCTGCTGCATTTTGACATCAGGTCAGGTCAGTGACCTATGACGTCATACATGAACCTCTCAATAGTCTAAAAATGTTGTATAACTTCGCGGCGCTCTTGAGTCGGGGAATCTTTCGCAGGGAGATGGAACTTTTAGGAGGTTACAAGCTTTTAAATTCTTACTACTTTTTACCTCGGATTTTCTTTTTTCGTAAAGGTCGCCTGAGGTCAGGTCGATCACGTGACCCCTCCGTTAAAGCTCCGTGGGTAGATACAGGAACTGCTCAGTTAGCGCCAAATATGATCCAAATTTGTTTCAGGACTTGAAATCCTATTTTTGTGCCCCGCTTCCGTGAATTGATGCCTGGTCTGTATTGAACTTGGACCTTATGGCGTCGTTTGACATCACTTAAGAGTATTTGAGATCATCGATCGCGAGTTTTCCTCAATAACCCCTAACCAAATTAAGCACGAAATAATAACTATAGATAGTTTCAGCCTGGCACACTGATACACATTAAAAAGTAGGACTTTTGCTTGGAAGGAAGACTGGGACAAATCGCTTCGTTAAGCTTCAATGATTTAACCGAATTCGTTGGGTTTAGAGCGGTTCTTGCATATTTTATGGTTTTGTGATTCACTACGACATGACTTTGACACTTCGATTCTGGGCTGGCAGAAGACTTACACCATAATGATCTCGCCGATATAAAACCCAAAATTCCTAGTCGACCATGGCAGCGTCAAAACGAAATGGAGTTAGTTTGTCACGCATGCAGCCCTGACAATGCCGGTTTTAGGCGAACTCATGTTGAAGCAAATGTTAACACCGATATTATCGGTTTAGAGTGACTCGTATTTTGTAAGCAATTCGTGAGCAATTCTTATATAGTTTGATGAGCACGTCCTCGACGACAACTAGAATGAGACGCTCTTCCGTCGCTAATTGTTCGTCGACCTCGGGATGGATTAAGTCCATGTGGAGCGTCACAAGTCTTTCTCACAAGTCAAGTTTTCAAGTCTTTTTTGTCGTCACAGGACTTTCATCCTTCACAGACAGGTGTATGCGACGTTGTCAACGACCTTGCGGTTTCAGTAGCGACGTCCAAACTTGATATCTTGGTTTTATTGCCACCACTTGCGCTATTGAATGCTGCCGGGGCTTGGGCGCGGTCTTGCCGGGGTGTGACTGGCGATGATCATTCTGACTCGGTTTCCATATTTCTCCCATTGACCCAAAACAATAGGTCAAGACCACGTGAACGACATAATCTCAGGTGACCGGAATGGAATATCCGAGACATGCCAGTTGCTACTTTCGGATAGTTTATCTCCTTGTGAAAGACCGTTCCCCGTGCGTCGACGAGTGGATGCAACGCCGATTGGTCGGCACTATATACATAGTTGTTGCACCAGACACTTGAACTGGACACATGGCCCAGAAAGACGGGAGAGAGCGCAGGCCCTTCAAAGAGCAGGCGCACTGACGTCAGCAGTAGCGATTAGCTCGTCTGATGATAGGAGCATCGTCTACTCATCTCGTAAGCGTGAACATTTAAGCGTTTGAGCGTTGAACAATTACAAAATATTTTTGGTGCATTCGTAACATGTTTCGAAGATGTCGGTGGTGGCTGACATCTACTATGGATAGGTCCCGATTTTCCCGACTTTTGGGTCATTGACCTGACCTGGAAGGTCAAGGTCAACCAATGACCTAGGACCTTAAAATTGGATATCATCGGCTTCTTCTCGTTACGGGAGACACGCTAGTTTTTTCCCGTGAAGCTGTAGCTTGAACAGAGACCGAACAGCAAGGGGGTCCAACGGACCCCTCCCCTGTACGTTAGACGCAGACAAAACACCAATACGGGCGAGGTTAAGACTCCTAGGTGAAGTCAGATACATTTCAGGTTTATTTGGTGGACAGTTTTAGGATAGCACTTGCAATGATTAGCAATACCAAAAAATATTTTGGCCTAAGACTAATTTTAAATAATTTGTAAGTAAGCCCCATTACATGATTAATGGTTAAATTCATGAAATTTCGTTAACTTCAGGGTCGATGCGGACCCCCTAGATGGCCTCAGAAATTCTTGAAATTTGGCATGGAGGATACATTTAGGATGCGTAACAAATAAATTGGTAAATGTCAAGTTTAAGTCCTAAGAAGATTTCATTGATAAATTTTTCATATTTTTACATTATTTGACATCCTGAATCCAAAAATTATACTCATATGTCTCGCAAATAAAAGAAAAAAACATAATCAAACCTGACCTAACCTTACCTACATACCTATAACCTACCAACCTACAACCTACAAACCTACCCTAACCTAACCTAACCTACAAACCTACCTACCTACAACCTAAAACCTACAAACCTACAACCTAACCTAACCTAAAACCTAAAATTTTTGCTGTTTCATATTCGTATCAACAGCGCCACAATTGTAGTTAGGACCTAAACTTGACATATACCAATAAATTTTGGTGACAGGGGGTTCGCGTAAATTTTTCGAAAAAGTGGGGCGTTTGATGCACCCTAACGTCCAGCGAAGACGAGCCAAAAAAAAAACAGCAAAAGCCCCATCAAACAAACCTGGACCGACTCGATCAAATTTGTATCAGTATGATCCCGCACGTGATACGAATCAATCTGGATCAATCCTTGGATCAAATTCAATCAATCGATCAACCCGCTTTTGCCTTTTGCCAAGGTGGCCAAGGTCGCCTTTTTACCAAACTATGCTTAATTTACAGCAAAACATGCATTGCAGCGTTTTAACAAGCGCACCGACGGGGGGCGGACCTTGACCTTTCGAAGTTAACATATACATCATTCGATGCGGATTGACGAGAGGATCACGATGGTGCCCTTAGTTTGTTCCTATCTTGACTAGTTCGAAAGTTATTCGAGAAAAACTCCATATCTAGCGCCGCCATTTTTACTTTTTGACCCCTGTGACGTCATCTTTGACCTGACCTGAAAATGGTAAAAATTGTAGACCTTGTCCGTGCGTATCCCATGCCGTTTACCGCTTGTCGCTATCTTGCTTCGTTCTCGAGATCTCAGGGGGGAGGGGCGGTCATCCTCCCCCCTCCCGTCCGTACTCAGTCGGCGCAGACCCCGCTCAACCGGTGTTCTATACGACATCTAACACTCACATTTAAAGGGGGTTCGAACGGCCCACCCCCCACCCCCAATAACTCGCGCACAATGCGGCCGATCGCGACAAAAATCTCAGTAGCCTCGAATTGATCAGTTTTACACCCGTAATCTGTAAAATTTCATGACCCTGACCCAAATGACCTTTGACCTCGGACCTGATTCTCGAGACCATGTTCGGCAGGAATCGCGATTTGGCGTATGCTGGCTCACATTATCCGCGTATTTCCAGTCTTTTTGTGGTTTTGAACGTTCAAACATGTGGAATGGTTTTCGTCTCATGCATTATTGTGGGTGTCAAGGTCACGTGAAGGTAGGCCATGACCTTTGATGACCTCGGTTCACTTTTTTTAGTTTTACACGTTCCTAGAGTAGTTTGGTAACTTCGTAACATGTTACGAAGCTATCGGTGGTGGTTGACACCTACCTTGGATAGCCGGCAGGACGCCTGCTGGTTGACCTACACGTTCTGTTTACACCATGTTTATTCAGTGAAGAAGGGTCTGAAGGACAAAATATAGTTCACATGACAACACGTCTGGCGCAGTCTCCTTCACAGCGTCCGCCTCGTTCTGCGATCACAGTCTGCCAGAAGTGACCTCTTGAGTGTGGCAGTCCGGCCGGGCACCCATCATCCCTCCCCACGAAAGGAGGGCGAGCTGCCCCCCAGTTAAAGTCACGGTTCCTTCCAGGAGCGCTTAATCTTGGGTGTTTCGGCGGCGGAGGCAGCGGTGGCGACCAGCGCAGGTGGGGCGGCGGCGGTGAGCGGTGCGGACTCTCCACCGGCCGCCGGGAGCGCGCTCTGGGCGCCGGCCGGGGGAGCGGCCAGCCGCGGCGCCGGCACCACGTAGCGCGCGCCGCGACCACCGCGGCCGCCACCGACGCCGCGCCGGCGGGCGTACGCGCCGCGCACCGTCACTGGGCGCGGCTGGCGCGGGCCAACCAGCCGCGGCCGGCCGCGGGGGCGCTTCCCGCCTGCGGCAGCGTGAACAGGTCGACACGTGTCACAATCGGCGGCATAGCGCAGCAGAACAGCAGCACACCCACAGCACAGACGGACAGGAGCCACACCTCCCACTGCGGCCGTTCAGCCCAGTTCAGCCCACACCAAGAAGGCACTATTAAAAACTTAAAAGAGCATTCGAGTACGTTACATTATTGATGATTCACATTGCAGTGCATACAGCACAAACAGCTACCAGCGCTTTACAGCCCTTCCCGAGAAGGCGGTGGGGAGCGGGGCGGAGGGACGACACCTACCGGGGGTGAGCGGGGACGGTGCGCTGAACCGCGGTCCTCCCAGCATCTGCAGCGGAGGCGGCGGCAGCACCAGCGTCGGCGACATCAGAGACGCGCCCGGCGCCGACAGCAGTTCCTCCTCCTCGACGTCCGAGCCTGACTCGGAGTCGGAGCCGGATTCGGAGCCCGCCGAGTCGCCCAGGCCGTCGAAGCCGCGACCCCGGCCCGCGCCCGTGTAGCAGTCCTGCGCAGGCGGACGGTGACACGTCGTCAGTTGTGCCGCTGCTCCAACACAGCCTGACCGCCACACAACCCCGACAGAGCTACGTAATAGGAATAAGAAACAATTCTCGAAATCATCAGCTCACCACGTCCGGAACGGCATTCAGAGAGCAAGAAGGGCAGCCTAATGGAAGTAATTATGTTGCTCAGCAACCCAGTCTTTTGATCAAATAAAAATTTGATCACTGTGCAGGGAGAGGCTGGAAGGTCTCACCGCGCAGACGAAGCTGGTAAGTTTGGCGTCCTCCAGTCCAACGCAGATCGGGTGGTAGAGGCAGCGGCAGATGAGACACTGAGCGGACGGCAGCGCCACCGGCGACCGCTCCGACTCGCGGAAACAGAACAGGCTGCAGGGCGCCGCCAGCCGCCGCCGACTGCAGCACACAGACACATAACAAACTGGTCAGAGTCGGAGAGACAGGCCGCCACCGACTGCAGCACACAGACACACATACACACAGGTCAGACTGGGAGAAACCGCACAGGCTGCACGGCGCCGCCAGCCACCTCCGACTGCGTCACAAGAACACGGGCATACAGGCAAAGCCTCCCTCCGCACACATACAGGTGAGACCATAACCATGACCGTGCTCACATATAGTAAGACCCTACCGCGGTCTTAGCACCACTCACCACACAAACCGGCCCAACCATTCTATCGTTAGCCAGGTCAAACCATTTGTCATATCACCAGTAAGACACGTCATTTTACGGTAACAAACGAGCCAGCGCAAAAGTGAGCCGTTATACACGTCGCAAGTGTAACGCTAAAACCCCGTCCCCAACTGATATGCGCTAACAACCCTTCTGAACAGTTTGCCCAATTTGAACGCAATTGGCCAAGCCGTTATAGAGATGCGAAAGGGATCGATCCCTGCACGCGTTCACGTGCAGTAGCACACTAAGGTCGGCCGACCGGCTGCTCATACCCGCAATGTCCCGTTAATCTGCTTGAGACCGCGTTGCGGGCTCGCCCACAGCTATCACTCACCCGATGAGTACTTGGTCGGTGGTGTGCGGCGCCGCGGTGCCGCGCACCAGTCGGAAGTACTCGCCGGTGGCGGCCGGGTCGGGCGGCTGGCAGACGCTCAGCGCGCCCAACTCGTCCACCTCTGCCAGCAGCCACGGCCGGCGCAGCAGCACCCGGCCGCGCTCGCCGCCGCCGCCCGGCGGACGGCCGCGCCGCTTCACAGGGTCCGCCGGCTGGCGGCGCGGCGGGTTACATGTGTCAGGACGGCAGCGGACGTGGCGATCGGCGGTCTCTGGGCTACGTTTCTAAGGGATACCACTAGGCGATTTGATAAAATAGCAACAAACCACTGTGATGCCATATGTAATGCAATAACATCGAGTGACGATGACACGTAGATACTGCACAAAGCACTATCATCCTAGGATAAACATACCTTTGGCTTTGCCGCTTCGGACTGAAACACCGGCATTTTCTTTTTCAGTTCCATGGCTTTGAAGGCGAATAGCTTCCGTGACTTTTCCATCAGCGAATGTTTCCGTGGCAGTTTCTGCGGGTTGGCCGCAGCTGGCGATGGCAGCTGGAAATGAGAATAATGGGTTTGAAGTCTTAACACCACTGCACAACTATTATAATCCAGCACAAAAGCGTGTATCATCAATAAATACTAAATCAGCAGCTGATACACTTATGCATGAAGCAAGATGCCAGGACTACTTTTTCAAACACAATGGAATGGTGTGCTAACAAAAAATGCAGGCCACCCACACAAACAGCGTTTCCTGCCAACAATCCACAACCACATCATTGATGGGTGGTCCATAAACAGGAAGTGCTATTAACTCGACCAAGACATGTTTCCCCCGGATGAAGAATGACCGAGACATGTCTTCATTCATGACCCCGCTAGCATACAGCTACGCCAGGGAAGTGATTACAGCAGGCTGCGACTGGCCGGTAATAAGGCTGGGTCCCCAAGCCAATTCACCCGCGGGCGGCAGGGTCCCATCTACGGGCCGGGCCCGGCTGCGGCCCACGGCACATACCTTAATCACAGACGAGGCGTCTCCAATAGTTATGGTATGCTTCTTGCGCTGAATCTGCCGACACATGGGCCCGAATTCAGTAATTCGGATAAAAAACGATAAAACACAACACTTCCACGTCTCCACGACGGTGTTACGACGGGCGTCTCATGTCAAACGTCACATGACGGGGCATCGGCGTCGGAGTCACACTGCCTACCCATGTCAGACTTAATCTGGGCATCAGCTTAGCGTTTGCAGGCATAGATCGACATTTAGAGAACACAAATTTGGAGTGGACATCATCAGTGACACATTCTCACCTTTTTCGCCACTGCCGCCTTCTTGCCAGCTATCGCCGCCGCCGCGGTCAGTGCAGCCTTCTTGTTGGGCGACACGGCAGAGGGGGTGGCAGAGGTCGCGGAGCCGACCGGGCGCGCCTTCCGGAGCCGCTCCAGCGGCGGCTCGGCGCCGAGCAGGTGACGGCGAAACGAGAAACACGTCACGTCCAGCGGCGAGCCGGACCGTTTGACTGTCACAGAGCCGACCAGAGCAGCACGTCAGTGGTGCAGTCGATACTGTGTACTGAGAGCCCGGTCCCGGGGCCACAACACGCTTCAATATCTACCAGCAAGGCACTGCAATGCCTCATCAGAAATCGCTACAACTTACAAGAGCCACCATATTAGTTCTAAAACAGCTGGCATGGGCCGTCCATGCCCCACCAGTACCGTACCTAAAACAGCCGACGTAAATGGTTCCGTTCCAGCAGGGATACTAGCAGACACAGTAGAGCCCCACCCTCTGTTCCGATCCGACGGGGACACTCATAGTACAACAGCCCCCACCCCCTGTTCCGGTGGTGGCGGGGAACACTAACAATAGAGACTAGAGTCCCACCCTTTGTTCCAGAGGGAACAAGCACAACAGAGCCCCACCCCCTGTTCTGGTTGGGGACACTCACGGTAGAGCTCCACCTCGTTGAGGGAGCGCAGTTTGCGGCCTTCTGGCGAGAAGTAGTAGGCGTCGGCGCGGATACCGGCCGCGCGACTGTCCTCGGCAGAGGCGCGCTGCACCAGCTCGCGCCGCCAGCCTGGCAGGACGGGCAACGGTTAGAGGGCAGTTATAGTACCTACCCTGTACTGGTAAACCCTTGCCGGACCCATCGGTTTTCTACATACGCGCTGGCCAAGGGGGAGCATCCCGAGCCCCTCGCCATATCGCCCCTAATCGAGCTAGAGCATCGCGGAACAAATGAGCGCGTGCACTGTAACTAGACACAGTGACTAGTATAACATTTTAAAACTTCAGGTCAACTGGTGACTTTTGAGGGCAGGTCAAGCGGTGTGGTTTTAAGTGAGCTATTGTCTATTACACCAAAAACTGTTGCAGAGCTGAAATATGTGCATCATTTGATTCTGTAAGTCTTCCTGTGCCCAATGATGGCTTTCCTGACTTGCTAGCAGTTAGCTCTATTTGATTGGGAGTTATTGACAAAAACTGTAATGAATTCATTGCCATGTATGACAACACACGAGATCAACCATGCCACAGTTAAGCATCAGACCTTGTAAACAGTGTATAAAGCCACAATTTCATATACTTTAGATAAGATAAGATCAATTCTGGAGCCAAAATACCTAACAGTTCCTATACTCTCCTTGATCTGCACTGATGCATAATAGTGAGGTCATGTGCCTAACCTCACCTCAAGTGACATGAAACAATCTGAGATAAGAACATTCAACACCAAGTGAGCTAGGCAGGTACCTGCTTTACTGGGAGATTATTTATCATAATGCAGTTGATGAAAAGCTCCAGTAAGTAGGGTAGAAGTTGGCAGGAACAGTCATGTGACCTAAAATGACCAGGAAAATACATGAGCTCAAATTCAATTTAAATAGAGAAATGCCTTTCACAAATTAACTTACCATGTTCAAAGGGTTTTCCGAGCTTCGGGTTATCTTCAAAAGCCATCACGCTCTTTAGCAAACCTGTAAGAATAGCTGGTAAGTAAATTTTTTAATATCCATAAGGGTAGTACCTACCTACGGGTGCATTCGGATAGAATGGAATATTCACCGTCCCCAAGAATATCCCCTTCTTTGGGGCGCAACTCTCTGAACGGCCAATCTTCGAGAATATTCCGCGCTCATGGATTATGGATATTCTCCTAACGCACCCCTGATGTTTATTCGCACCAGATGACAAAAGCCAGGCAAGCAGTCAAAGAGGTTCCATAAAAAGTACCTTATGTTTGGCTATAACAGCTGCAACTATTTCATTTCTAGGGCCTTGACAATACTAGACTTTAGCCCTGGTTATAACAATCCTGCATTCGGTAAATATATATATTCTATAGCTGTTCTGAATTGATCTGAATTGAAAAGTGAAACAAAAACCAGTAAAATAACCAGGTAAGATAACCCTCAGACATAGCAAAAAGTGATAAATGCATAAAATATCAACGAAATACACACAATCAATCAATCACCACCCTAGAGCTGTAGCGCCGCCACAATTGTCACGTCGCAGATATGTAATAACAAGTCTGTTCAGTCACCTCTAGTCTTACGGCAGCTTCGCGGCTTCTTATTGGTGGAATTCACACGTGCTATGCTAATCACCAATGAAATACCGAGGAACGCAGCAAACAGTTACCATATATGCAAAAACAAGCAGTTTGCCGATTAAATGAACAAAATATGAAAGATCATCGCAAAAATAAGACGAAAGCGCGTGGCAAACTCAAGGCGGCAAACTGCTGTGTGGTGGCCGGTGGGAGGAGGGTTGTTTGGCTGCTTTGAAAATTGAAGTGGATTTTGGCAATTACAGAGTTGCTCATTTTTTTTGTTGTACAGGCATTTAATGTTCATTATGAAGTGCTCTTTCGAATGATATAATGATTCAATGGGTTGGGACATTAGGATATTTTTGAATGTAAGAATCCTCCTCATCCATCTTTTGATATGCCATTTTTTAGAATGCTGGTAATATTCAACAGATATACAGCAGTGCTGTGAAGCAGTTGTTTCTGGTAGAAAATAGCAGGGAATCATGGCTGGTGAATGCAATGTTACAACTGGCCATTCCAATAATTGACTCATCAGGGCCCTGTTTAATGTCGCTGCGCTACAGCGCGCTAGGTGTATTGGGTTTCAATGGAAACAAACTTGGATACTCGCAACGCTGAAGAGTGAAGCATCTAGAATAAATAGTCTCAAATGTTGCACCAATGCTGTAGCGCAGCGTATCTAGGCACAGCTGGCAGCAATTTATCGTGAAACGACCCAGGGCCAGGGCTACTATAATCTGCAGGGCTGGGTAGCTGGCCATATATTGCAACCCCTTTAAAAAAGTATGGCTGGTTATGCCCAATCTTTTGCTATCTGGATAGAGATACAAGATAACAGCCAGATTAAGGTCATTTTGATTTGGCAATTGACCTGCACTGCACATGCGTAACAAACTGAAACATTTAAAATTGGCTGTCGCAGAGATTTTTGAGATAATAACAGGTTTGTGCTCAAGCAAAAAAAAACATTTCTATGTTTGAAGGCTTGGGCCTGGGTTTAACAGATTCTAGAACGGAGAACCCTGGGAGAAGAGAGCAAATTTTGGAATATTTGACTGGAGATCTTTGGGACTCACAATTTGTCCGCTGGTAATGCTAGATTGCTGAGTGTGAGGGTCTTAGCTTAATAACCCTGTTAAAAGTCTTCCAAGAGACTGTAGGTAATAGCAAGTGTCCAGTAATCCAGTTGCCCCAAACCGTTGGCTTCACAAAAGCAGGGAGAATATTTTCTAATTGAGGATTCTGAGTACTCACTTGTATTTTGGTGAGGCTGTGTATAGTTGATTTGGGAATGGTAATTGAAGGTTTAGTGCTCAGTTGCTGATATCAGTGTTACTTAAGGAGATGCTGATGACAAAAAAGGGTGTTTAGATTCTTATACAGAGTGCAGGTTAGGGTCAAACCATCTTCAGATAGCACTTCAGAGACTTCTGATCAGAAAGGTATTATTGATTCAATGCCCATTGCCCTTACAGGTAAATTTGAACAGGCCTTAGTTTGAACCTGATATCCATCATGAAATTACACTTGAGAAGCTGAGCACTATCCTTATTTTACTTTTTCATTACAAAACTTCCCTGCCCAACTTTGACAAGCAATGTGTGCACTGTGCATCTGCAGGAGCCATGTCTGTATCCGACGAGGAGTACCGCGAGCGACAGGAGAATGAGGTGCTGGTCATCCAGTCGATGTACCCGGCACCGGGCGAGTTCGAGGACCTGCGTCAGAACGACGTGTGGAAGACGCCGCGGCCGCCGGAGATGGCGCTACGGCTGCAGGCGGCTGCGCAGCCGGGACAGACGGCCAGCGGGCTGCGGCTGCGGCTCAAGATGCCGCCCCAGTACCCGGACCTGCCGCCCGAGATCCGGCTGGAGGAGCCGCGTCAGCTGTCGGACGCGGACGTGGCACGGCTGCGCGCCGAGCTGCAGCGCGCCGCCGAGCAGCTGCGCGGCTCCGAGATGGTCCAGGAGCTGGCCGACCGCTGCCGCGAGCTGCTGACCGCCGTGAGCCGGCCGCGGTTCGACTCGCTGCACGCCGAGAAGGAGCACCGCGAGCGCGTGGAGGCCGAGGCGGCGGCGGCGCGTGCTCACCAGGAGCGCCAGCGGCAGGAGGAGGAGCGCGCGCGCTGCCGCTCCGAGGTGCAGCGCGAGCAGCGCCGCCTGCTGGCTGAGGAGCGCCGCGCCGCACGCCGCCGCTTCTCCGAGAGTCAGCTCGACTCGGGCACGGCCTGTGTCTCGGAGAGTGCCGAGTGCGCCGAGCACGCGGGCGCGCGCCGGCTGACGGTGGCCGGCAGAGACGAGCTGCTGGTGGGCCAGTGTCTGCAGCACACGGCCGCCGGCGCCGCCGTGCGCGCCTGCCTGGACACCCGCTCTGGCGAGCCGCTGCGCGTGCAGCAGTGGTCAGTGCGCTGGCGGACGGCCAGCCGCACCCGAAAGGTGCACGACGCGGCCGCCGAGCCGGCCGGCCGCGAGCGGCGCACCGTGCTCGACCAGCTGTCGGCGCTGCAGCGCGAGGTGGCGCGGCTGGCCAAACACCGACACGACAACCTGCTGCACTACCTGGGCATGTGCTTTGAGGAGACGGCCGCCGGCGCTGAGGTGTTCGTGCTGCAGGAGTTCGCGCAGGGCGCCGATCTGAGCTGGCACGTGCGTCACGGCGGCCGCGCCGAGCCGGCTCTGCTGAGGCTGCTGGCGGCCGGACTGACGGCGGCGTTGGCGCACCTGCACTCGCGCGACATCACCCACCGCGACCTGCGGCACACGAGCGTGCTGCTGGAGAGCAGCGGTCAGGTGCGGCTGGCAGACTACTCGGTGGGCCGCCGGCTGGCCGAGCTAGCCGGCGCGCCGACGCCCCCACCGCCCGACTACCCGCCCTACACGGGCCGGCCCAAGAAGGCGGACGTGCAGCGACTGGGCGCGCTGCTGGCCGCAGTGGCGCGCGGCGGCCTACGCTCGGAGCCGTCGCCGCCGCCCGACTGGCTGCCCGCGCCGGCGCGCGACTTCCTGGCGCGCTGTCTGGAGCCGGACGAACAGCGGCGCTGGTCAGCCGCCGAGCTGGCCGAGCACGGCTTCCTCAGCGGCGACTGGCGCCGGCCGGACGCGCCCCTGCCGGCCGCCGCCGATGTGCGCGACGACCCGGTGGCAGCGGCGGCGGCGCCTACTCCGGAGCCGGCGGCGGCCGCGCTGCCGCTGCCGTCCGGCTCCAGCCAGCAGCTGGCCAACAACTTCCTCATCCTGGAACACCTGGGGCAGGGTGGCTTCGGGGAGGTGCTGAAGGTGCGCAACAAGGTGGACGGCAACCTGTACGCCGTGAAGAAGATTATGCTGGAGCGGGACCGACCGCAGGACCTAAAAAAGATCAGCGTGGAGGCACAGCACCTGGCAATCCTGCAGCATGAGAACATCGTGCGCTACTACACCTCCTGGATGGAGACTGAGGACGCCGCGGATGTGGAAGACAGCGAGGACGGTGAGAGCGAAGACGAGGAGACGCTCAGCGGGCCTGACGAGGAGGATGAGGACGAGTCCTCGGACGGTATCTTGTTCGCCTACGTGTCGGAGGGCGGCGGCGGCCCGGCAGGGGACGGTCCGTCGCCGCCGGCCGCCGGCCCGGAGCCCAACTGCGAGCCGAGCGGCAGCCGGCGGCGGCGGCGGCCGGCGCGCACGCGTCGCTGTCTCTGCATTCTGATGGAGTACTGCGAGAAGAGCACTCTGCGCACGGCGCTGCCAGAACTGCCGCGCGACCAGCAGCGCCTCTGGCGACTCTTCAGGGAGATCGTCGAGGGCCTGGCACACGTGCACGGTCACGGCCTCACCCACCGCGACCTGAAGCCCGACAACATCTTCCTGGACCGGAGTGAGCACGTCAAAATCGGTGACTTCGGCCTGGCCACGTCCAAAGTGGTGCGGCCGCGTGCCGAGGAGGCGGGCGCCGAGCGGCCGCAGGGCCCGGCCGCCGCTGATGTTTCGGACACGTCGTATGCGTACGCGGTGGGCACGGCGCTGTACCGTGCTCCCGAGCTGGAGCCGGCGCCGGCCGACGGCGAGCACGGCTCGACGCGCCGCGCCCGCTACACCAACAAGGTGGATCTCTACAGTCTGGGCGTCATCTGGTTCGAGATGTGCTGCGGCACCTTCGCCACCGGTTCGGAGCGCATCCACCGGCTCTGTGAGCTGCGCAAGCCCGACATGCACATCGGCGACGACATCCGGCAGCGGCTGACGGACCAGCAGGTGCAGCTGCTCGGCCTGCTGCTGCAGCACGAGCCGACGAAGCGGCCCTCGTGCGTGGAGCTGCTCAGCTCCGATCTGATGCCCTCACCGCCGCTGGAGGAGGCGCGCCTCCGTAAAATATTCCAGGACACCGTGCTCAAGCCCAACACGCGCCGGTACGCGCACATGGTGGACGCGTGTTTCTCGCAGCGCGCCACGGCCACCGACGACTGTGCGTACGACGTGCAGCTGGGCCGGCGCGCGGTGGCGCCCGAGCGCGGCGCGCTGGCGGCCGTGGCGCGCCGCCGGCTGGAGCGGCTGTTCGAGCGGCACGGTGCGGCGCCGCTGCCGCCGCCGCTGCTCACTGTGTCGCTCTCGGCTTCAGCGGACGGCGCCGCGGTGCGCCTGATGACCGGTACCGGCCGGCTGGTGGAGCTGCCCCGCTCGCAGCGCCGGCCGCTGGCGCGACTGCTGGCGCGCGCCGGCACCGCGCCGCTCCGACACTACGCCATCGAGCGAGTGTACGAGGAGCGGCTGCCACGCGGGCAGCACCCGCGCGAGCGGCTCGAGGCGCTGTTCGGCAGCCTGTCGGCGCCGGCGGCGGCGGCGCTGGCGGACGCTGAGCTGCTGTGCGTGCTTTCGGAGCTGGTGGCGCTGTTCCCGGCGCTGGCCGACCGCGAGTACCGGCTCGTGCTGGGGCACACGCTGCTGCTGGAGGCGTCGCTGGAGGCGGCCGGTGTGCCCACTGAGCGGCGTCAACAGGTGGTGGAGCTGCTCTGCCGGCACGACGCCGACTCTCAGCGGCAGCAGGTGAGGTGGGGAACGGCGCACCTCTGCCCGACGGGGCTGGGAAAGTACGTACGTGACAGCCGGCTGGAACCCTGTGGGGAGTAGGACAGTGTCAGGGGGACACGACAGCATGGCCTACTGTCTGCATTCTGCATTCTACAGACTCTTTCTTGTTTGATTCCAACATTGTGTCAGTCACTGGTGCTCTATAGCCAACAACAGTGTGGCAGTGCTTCTGACTGTTATTCCACACTGATGTGAACGGAACCGATCCTGGACTGTCGTACCCGCTGGTGAGTGCCGCCCGCTGTCGGTAGGTCTGTATGTATGTATGCTTGTATGTGCAGGTGCAGCGGGGGCTGGAGGCGCTCGGCCTGTCTGACTGTCTGTGTCTGTCTTTCTGTCTGCACAGGTACAGCGGGGGCTGGAGGCGCTCGGCCTGTCTAACTGTATGTGTCTGTCTGTCTACACAGGTCCAGCGGGGATTGGAGGCGCTCGGCTTGTCGGCCAAGTGTATCAACCAGCTGTGGTTCCGTCTGGAGCTGCGCGGGAGTCTGGAGCGCGTGCAGCAGCAGCTGAGCGGCCGCCGGCCGTCTGAGGCGGCCCGTCAGGCGCTGCACGAGCTCACCACCGTCACTGATTACGCCGAGCGGCTGGGCGTCACGCTGCCCGTGCTGGTGTACCCAGGTGAGTACAACTGTGACGGGGATGGTCAGGGGACTAAGATGTGCGGGTGATCATTTTATGTATTTGTGGTTGTGATCGCCCCTGTCCGTCGTGCCTGGATGCTTGTTTGGTATACTGGTGATTCTTGCGTGTGCCGGTGGTAAGTGTGCCGGTGGTAAGCACTGATTAGCCGTTAGTGTTTCTGTCATTGTCTACTAGCCGTGTCCACCGGTTGCCCGCGATCAGTACTGCCACTGGGCACTGCCATTTGTCATTTTTTTTCCTGTCGGTGACCTGTCACACCGTTCGGGGCCGTGTGCCTGTTTGCCTCTGATCACTGTGCGTTGCTGACCACGGGCCCTCCTCTGACCGTGTCTGTGTACCCGCTACCAGGTCTGGTGCTGGGTGAGGAGCACAGCCAGTTCCGCGGACTGGTGTTTCAGCTGCAGTGCCCGCGGCGCCGCGGCGCGGGCAGCGCCGTGCTGGCCAGGGGCGGCCGCTACGACCCGCTACTGGCCCACTACTGGTCGCTGCTGGCTCCCGATGGCGCGCCGCAGCCGGCCGCCGCCGCCGTCTCCATCGCCTTCGACGAGCTGGCGGCGGCGGCGGCGCGCGAGGGCCGCTCGGCGGGCACGCCGTTCGACGTGGTGGTGGCGGGTGGCGGTGACCGGGCGGCGGCGCGCCGTCAGGCGGCCGTAGCGCGCCAGCTGTGGACGGCCGGCGTCAGCGCCTTCCTCTACTGCGGCGGCGACTCGCCGGCGGCTGCTGACGACGCGGCGCGCTGGGCGGCCGAGCGCGGCGCGCGCGTCCTTCTGCTGCCCAAAGACTCGGACTCTCGGATGGTGCGCGTGCGGCCGTTGGAGGGGCGCGGCACCGCCAAGGCGGTGGTGTTCACCTCTGACCTGCTGGAGCACCTGGCGCGGCTGGGTGTTAGCGGTGAGCGGTGCGGAGAGCGGCCGGCCGAGCCGCCGGCGCCGGCCGCCGAACTCTCCGTCCACTGGGTGGTGCGCAGCGCCGACTCACTGCGCTCGGGCCAGCGGCAGGCGCTGGAAGCCACCGCCGAGCGCCACCTGGCCGCCGAGCTGGCCGCGCTCGGCCCGTCCGCGCGCACTGAGCTGCTCATGATCGAGCTCGACCGCGAGGACGTGATGCAACTGAGCCGACTGCGGCTCAATGAACCCGAGCAGGCGTTCCAGCAGAGTGTCGACCAGGTGCTGGACGCGTGCCGCGCGCAGCGCAAGTACGTGGCGCGCGTGTGTGACGAGCTGGCGCGCGTACGGGCGCGCCGCTGCACCGTACTCGTGTTCGGGTTCCAGGCCAAGTGTCACCTGCTGCTGGCCTGTGCCGGTACCGAGCACTGGCGCTAGCCGCCGGACCGGACCGACCGACGGGGCGCGGAAGGTGGAACGACCGGAGGTGCCACTGCGAGGTCAGTTGCCCCCGGGGTCTGGGCTAAGTCAGTCATTCGCTGTTCACCCTGAAGCTCAGACTGCCGTCACGGGTTTAAAGTAGGGGCGTTTTCCAAAATGATGTGTGATAACCGGCGGGTTTTGGTCCTCTGACAGTGGGGGCGGTATGCGGAGTGGTGGTGCCGTTAGGATCGGTGTCGTGGTCTAGGTATCGCCGCTGGCTATGGGACTCGGCTACTGCTGAAAAAGACACTGGGAGTCTGTGTTCGCCCGAATGGAGGCTGTGTCGTGTTGTGTGTATCTTGAGAGGGGCGTCGTCCTAGCATCCAGCTGTGATTCCTGCCTCTGACGGCAGGTCGGTGTCCGCTGTCCACTGCCCGCCGGTCGGAGAAGTGTCCGCTGTCCGCCGTTCGGGACAGCAGTGCCACTGGCTGGACCAGGCTGTGAGCCGGGAGGCCCGGGACATTGCGACCAAATCCATTTGTTATTGCAGTGCCAGTTTTACCTGTAATGTGCCTGTGGGGACGTGTGCCGTGCGTGCTTTGTTCGCTGCTGTCAGCCAGTTGTGTTATGACCTGTTGATGCCTAGCGGGTCCGTGCCAAAAGACAGCATTTGTTTATTTATTATTAATGGTAGTTTGACTGGGGTTAGATCGGCTTTGTGGCATTCTATGTGTGTGGGTTCTAGTCGCCAGATGTAGCTTCTGCTAATGTGGATCCTTACCACATTTATGGGCACAGCAATACGTTTGTACTCGTGTCTGGAAGCGTGTACTCACATATCGTTATTACCAGACCGCTGACGAAGCGATCGAGCGCTGGAGAGGCATTGGAAGCGGTATATTTTTGTATGGACAAGCACAAAGTGCCCGTTATTTTTGCAAACTATGGTGCAATGGTCTGTTGGTGTTTTGTTTTGTTATGCATGCATACAAATTTGAAGTAATTAATGGTGTTAATTATTCCAGCGATAACCGAAGAGGGGTTACATGAATAAGCTAATTTTGGACTTGAACCTAACGTTGTGGACGCATGTGCTCAATATGGTAACGAAACGCCTAGCATGTAAATCAAGGCATCTAAACATAATATTGTGACATTGACACGTGCAGTGCAGCGCTGACGTCAATGAACTTCTCTCAGCTGAACCGGCTGACTGAAGTACACTGGGCTGACGGTGGCCGTGAACTCCCGTCTCAGTAAGGACTACGGAGACGTCCCGGTTTGCCGTCGCCAGTCCAAGTTCTCTTACATACCTACTGGGAGACAGCTGCAAACCGGTCACTAGCCTGAGAAGGCAGCGTATGGTGCCCGCCCCCGTGCAGCTGCATGCATGTTACCACAGCGAGTAGCGACCGTGCAGCGTCACAGTAACCGTGCTACCGTCACCGGTGACGGGTTATCATGGCCGGCGGACCGGTTCAATCAGGGCCGAGTAGGTATCACAGATTATACTCTCTGACCTGTTCTGATCACTGTAATCCCCAGTCCCATGTAATGTCTTATGTGGCATCCCATGATAATCAATGCGAGGGGGCCGGTGATTCGGGCCTGGCTGTCCTTGCCTTTACAGCTCGGTACGTTGAGACGTTCTGTGACCTGACCTCCATCGCCGTCACCGGTCCTCTACCCCCCCCCCCCATCCTGAGGAAGCCCTGTCTCGGCCGTCGGCGCCGATGAAGCCCACCAACGTCGACCTCTGCCGCTGTGGGGTGCGACGGCAGCTCAGTCGTCCCGCAGAGCCGCGCCAGACCGCTCTCCGTCAGCCGACGCCATGGAGAAGAAGGAGAGCGAGAAGTCGGCCGGCGAGGGCGAGAAGGAAGAGGAGGTGTCGCCCAAGAAGATCACGCGCCTGATGCGCCTCCTCTCGGTGGTTGGCTATCTGGTGGCCGTGTCGTCGGCCGGCTTCATGATGTCGCTCTACTACATCTTTCTGTGGGACCCGTACGGCTCCGAGGCGCCCAGCGCGCTGTCACTGCGGGCGGAGCGGCCGCCGCAGCTGCTGGCAGCCGGGATCGGCCGCGCCGCCGCCGCCACTCTCGGTGAGTGAGCTACTGGGCGAGTCGCTGCCGGGTTCGGTGAGTCACTGTTGGGTGAGTCGAGAGGCTGAGTGAGCCGCCACTCTCGGTGAGACGGCGCCGGAGTGAGTCGCTTCGCTGGGTGAGCCGCCGGGATCAGCGATAGGTGGGTGCTGAATGGGTCGATAGCGCTAGGTGTCAATATTTATTTATCTGGTATTTGTTACGCAATTTGTCACGTAGTATAGTTTGTTGAAAGTCGGTTCCTCTTGAACAATCGTGACGAATTATGTTGCTTCCTCTTATAAAACTTTTTTATTTCGAATAAACAGTGTTGCATGAATCTATGATGATCCATGTCACGTATCCCTTTCAATGATGTTTCGTCGTTTATGCGTTTCAGGTCCGTCGCCACTGGTCTAACGGCGCCGCCCCCGTCGCTCGGAGCTCCCCGTTCACCGCCGGCCCGCCGTCTGTGCCGTCTGTGCTGTGGGCGCCCGGAGACCTCGGCAGACAGGACATCATGTGCCCCGGTGGCACTGGCGCTACCTCTGTCAGAAGCAGCCTACAGATGGAGGCGGCCTAAATCGCCGGGAGTGAGAAGTCGCCGGGCGGTGGCCTGCTCACAGTGACTTCTGCAGGCGGCGTGGTCCATGTGCAGTGCTGACATAACCGTTATGCCACCAGAGAGCATGCAAAAGCCGTTTGGCTTGGCCGCACTCCTTCAGCAGTCGCCGCCAGTCAGCACGGCTGGCATCGGGATGTCACCTCAACCTACGGTCAAAGTCGCTTTTTATTTATGAAAAAGTCAACGGATCGACTTGACGTTTTAAATGTGCGCACCCGCCGATGGCTTACTCGATGTAAAATACAGACCGATACCGATAAAATAAGCCAGTTCTGTATGTTACTCAGTTTTTTCGTTCTGCTCATACTTCCCGCTCGCCCCCGGCCTAAGTTCGTTTAGCTATCAGCTCGTATCCGCATCGCTCCGCTCACCCTGACGGCTTGCACGGCGAATCTGACGCCCACAACCCCATCCCAGGCCATGCCAGGTCACAGTCGGTCGAGTAAGCCCCTCATATTCCCTACCTGAGTTTCTGTCGGCAGCTCTCAGAAACGAGGCTGGGTGATAGCCAGTCGCTCACCTTCCCGTCCCCAGTTCCGCCAGCAGCAAATACTCGCCTCTCGATACGGAACTGACTGCGCAAAAACCAGCTCAGATGCGGTGACGACCAGACCAAGCACGACCTTGAATAGGAGAAATTGCGCCAACACTGCGTGGAAAGTCAGCGAGAGCGGGGATTCTGTGGGCAGTTTGCAGTGGTTCAGCTAGTAACTCCGGCGATCAATGGCATTTTCCCAGCGGCAGCGCCTGTGAACGACTCATGGTCTGCTTTCGATGCACAACGGTCGGCGTGACGACTGTTGCAAGACTAACGGCTTTCACAAGTACGGCTACGGCTGCTTATAAATCAACTGGCATTATGTAAATGTATGTATTGCAGATTCTTTAACATTCGACGTTTCTATGAATCTACATTGTACATTCATCGTTGCAACAAGCAATACTAGGCTCACATTTCACATATAGACACTGCGCCTCTAGACGTCATTCGTAAAAATACAAAAATAAAAATCCTCTCAATTATAGTACTGATACGTGTAAATAACATGTCATTAGCCCAAACGCCGACCAGTACCGACCACATACGGTGTCGCAGCGCCCAGCGCCCTTCTGCTGCGCACGAGTCCCCAGCACCAGATCCCGCGGCTCCGCGCCGCCGCTCACATCACGACCGACAGCACCGTTCGGGCAGCGCGCGCGGGCCCTCCGAGACAAATCCCGGCGCCTAGCTGACGAGGTGCAGCGGTGTGGAGCGCAGCGGCGACAGGCCGAGCGGGCCCGTCGGACGGAACGTGGCCTCTCCGATACGCGGGGACGGACGGAAGTTCTCCAGCCGGGAGCTGGAGCGCCGGGCGGCCGCCGCCGTTCGCCGCGGCTCCGGACCGGCGGCCGGCGCCGTCCGCTGCACGGAGACCGACGAACGCGACGACTTGGCGGCCGCCAGCCGCTCCAGCACCCGGGCGCGTCTCTCGGCGATCTTGCGCAGCCGCTCCCTGCGGCTGACCGGCGGCGAGATGACGGCTATGGCGCGCGAGCGGCTGCGCGCCGGGGACGCCGCCGCCTCCTCCGACGGCGACTCGGGCTCGATCACGCGCCGTGACGGTCTGAACGGGCGGCCGCCGTCCGACGCGGCCGATGGCGGCGATGGCGCCGAGGCGTCAAAGAATGGGCTGCCGGTGACCGGCGGGGCGGGCTCGGCGAGCTTGGCGGGCTCGGTCTCAGGCCGGTGCTCGATCTCGTTAATGCGCTGCCGGTCTCTGGCGGCGCTGTCGCCGTCCGCAGGCTGGCCGCGCCGCCGGCTGAGGTCGGAGGCTGAGATCAAAGACCCGCGGCTGATGTCGGAGCCTGAGGTCAGAGGCCGGCGGCTGAGGTCGCTCAGAAGCAGAGGCCGAAGGCTGAGATCGGGGGCTGAGGTCTGAGACTCGCGGCTGAGCTCGGTGGCTGAGTTCGGACCCCGGCGGCTGAGGTTGGTCAGCAGCAGAGGCCGACTCCTGGGGTCGGAGGCCGAGGCCAGAGGCCGACTCCTGGCGTCGGAGGCCGAGGCCAGAGGCCGACTCCTGGGGTCGGAGGCCGAGGCCAGAGGCCGACTCCTGGCGTCGGAGGCCGAGGCCAGAGGCCGACTCCTGGCGTCGGAGGCCACCGGGCGCAGTTCGGTGCGCTGTTCGGTGAAGGCGGCCGGCGGCGGCGTGCCCAGTGGCGGGAACAGCGGCAGCTGGTCGCTGGTGCGCGCCAGCGGGATGGACGCTACCGACGGCAGTCGACCCAGACGGTTCAGGGAGGAGCCGCCCTGCCGACCGCCGTCCGCCGCCGCGCCGGTCACGGCGGCCGTCCACACCTGCGGACAGGGACAGGACATGACATACGGGCATATCGCACATGACAAGGTCGTAACACAGCAACCTACGGCAAGCTCTCACAGACAGAATTCAACCGCTTACGGCGGCACATGTCTTATAGACGGAACACAACGCCTAACGGCACTGTCTCACACACGGAACACAACAGCATAAGGCAGCTGCTCACACATGGTGAGACATCAACTGAGGAGCACAGGTCACAACACATAATATAGGTAGGTATGACACCGAATATCTTACACAAGAACATGGAGAGAACGCCAAACACACGTGTCAGGAGAGGAAAATGGGCTCAAAGTTTCTCACAGTGCCGTTGTTGGTCACTCACCAACAATACGACCCATAGTACGGAAGCCGCTCGCACTGACGCCATGCTTATTCTTTGACTGACGGGGTGACTGATGCGACGGCTGAACGGACGACGGGCGATGGACCGTGAGGTGGCGGCTTGGTAGAGTGTTTGGTAAAATCAACTCCCGCCCGGGTGAGTGTCTGCCAGGTGCCCGTGTCGCGTCCAGTCACGGTGGGCTCGTCGGGTACGATGTCGCGCTGACCCCGTCTGTCGCCAGCTCCGACCGGGCGCGCCCGGTACCGGTGTTGCGCGATCGGCTGGCTCGGCGCGCTGGTCGCGTTGTCGGTCTCGGCGGCACGTGCACGCTGCTCGCCGTCCGGGGGCAGACTGGTTGCTCGCCGGCGGAGCGGAGAGACGGAGCGGGGCGCCAGAGCACGAGGCGCCGCCCACCGCGCGCCGTCTGTGTGCCCCGACGTGCCGGGGTGTGGGAATGCATTCATCCCTAGCCAGATCGCTGCTGATAGCCAGGTCTGTGTCGTAGTGACCGTGCAGGGACTCCTACACGGCTGGATAGTTCAGAGCGACTCATGGTCTGAGGTTAAAATTGTTATTGTAAAACCGCAGATATAAATAGGCATACCTATAATGTAGTACAAATCAGTTGAGCGATCGTACTTAGAGAAGACCCCATTCAATGAGTGGAAGTCTATCAACTATCGATCAGACTTCGGTGTAGTATCATTCAACTAGAAACCAGTCTCGCCTTCCTTCGTAAGAACCATCACAAATATGTGTGCCCGATTTGTAAATGCTGTGGCATCAAATATGCGATGCGTCAGCACGAACACTAACGTAAAAATCCGTGAGCATCTCGACTGTCCGTTGCGGTATACCTGATATATTGGTCATGTTTGTTTCTTCCTATCGCGCAATATTTCGAGCACTTGTTTTTTTTGTGTGTGTGCTTTATGTGTGAAGCCCAGCGACATCACACAACGCGAGATTGGTCTGTTGAGCTCAGTACGATATATCCGCCAGTCATCGGTCACCAGGCACCATCCACCATTCATAAGGCAGTCACAAGCCATCGGTGTCACCAGTCACCATTCACAAGGCAGAGTCAACAGCCATCGGTCACCAGTCGTCGGTCATCGGTCGCCACCCGGAGTCTCGGGCCGCCGCTCGTGCCGTGGCAGTTATGGTAGCGGCACGGCGGCCGACACCTGTGCAATATGCACCTGGCGCCGACCCGGCAGCGCCCCGAGCGGCCGTCCTCCGCCGTCACATACATTAGAACAGTCTGAGGCCAATCCGGGACCAGGGTGACTACAGGGGTACCGGCATCTGCGATGCCGGGCTCCGCATCGCGGGACCGCAGGTTGTTTGAGCAAGCACCTTTGTAAACGCAGCAAAAACGCCCGCCACCAAACGAGAGGATGAGCCTTGCACGTGCAGACCGCAGTCGGTGTGCTACGGACTGACGTGCACGGCACCCTATTCGTCGGTCTATAGCGGTGTGCCAAATTTGAGTGCAATCGACCCGGCCGTTTTCGAGATCTGGAAGCGACACCCTGCACGTGCGCACGTGCAGCCTAGGCCCCAATTGACTTGTGCACGGCACTCTATTCGCCGGTTTCTAGCGGTGTACCAAATTGGAGCTCAATCAGCCCCGTCAATTTCAAGATCTGGAAGCGACCCCTACACGTGCGCTGGTGCAACTGCACCCCAACCGTGGCACATGAAAATACATACTAACTGACTTGTGTACGGCACCCTACTAACCAGTCTCTAGCGGTATGCCAAATTTCAGCAGAGTCGGCCCAGCCGTTCTTGAGATCTGGAAGCGTCAGCCTGCACGTGCGCACGTGCATAGCGGGTCCCATCTGACTTGTGCACGGCACCCTACTTACCAGCCTCTAGCGGTGTGCCAAGTTTGATCACAATCGGCCCAGCCGTTCTCGACATCTGGAAGCGTCACCCTGCCCGTGCGCACGTGCAGTTGCACCCCTACCAAGACACGTGGAAATGCATCGCCTGGAATGTGTCTACCTCCATGCCAAGTTTTAGCGCAATCGGCCCAGTAATTACCGCGAGCTATTGCACTTATTACAAAACAGGCACCTCTTGGCTTTGCACGTGGAACGTGCGTTAGGGGTCACCCATATGCATCGAGAGTAGCACACTATGTGAAAGAAGGAAAAAAGCTACCCAACACAAAAAACCGCACGTGTATCAGCCCAGTGGTTGCCGAGATATAAGTCGTACAAAAACGTCCCCACGGCGGCCGGCCGCTATTTAGCAGTAAAATCGTGTCGCATCCTTCTATGGGAGGTATCCCCGTCACCTGTTCGTATACTGTCTGAGCAAAGACCATACGTTACGGTCCAAACTCCATAGTGAGGCGGACATACGAATTTACGAGAGTTTAGCGACGAAATGATTCACTTAATTGTTAAGTAATGGGTACCATTAGGTAGACCATAAATTTTATCTAGCATCTCACCGTAGATGCAGTAAAAAGTGCTTTACTTTTCAATGTATATAAAGACTTGCTCAGCTCAATCAGTTCACTCTGTATTGGCTCAAGCCGTATCATGCGAACGCAATGCAAACTAGAGCACCGACAGCGCAGCGCTCCCCAACTCACTGCTCGCCCAGTCCACCCGGGCCGCCGCCACGACGGCCCCCCGCAAGTAGGCATCCCGCACTGCACCGACAGCCGCGGGCGACCAGCTGACCGGCCAGCTGACCGGCCAGCAGCCGGCGGGCGGCAGGGCGCGGATGGCCGACCCGCCAGCGCGGCGAGGGAGGGGAGGAACGCAGCTGAAAGACCCGACTACATATATATCAAAGAAACATTATATGTAATCATCGATGACGCGACATAAATCTGCTTTATTGGGGTTAGCGGTGTAGTCTGTGATGCCATCACAATGAAAATAGGCGCCTAGTTTTGTACAGCATCAAATTCTGATTCCATAACGACTCTCGCTAGTCCATTTTCAATTGTAAATAAGCCTTTTATTGCGATGCAAAGTCCCGAAATGGTGCCGACGGCGGCCGGTCCCCCGATGGTACCATACCATAGATGGTAAACAGGTTAGTTCACATTCCCGCCGCTATGCGGGCGGCGGCGGCGCCACCTGTCCTCGTGTCCGCCTGACACCGTAACGATATAGGTCTGAGCTCAAATCTCGGTAATGTCGTGCTTTTTTACTATATTTCTCAAAAACGGCACCACGTGCAATAAAGTTGTATATATCATTGGAAAGAGCATCAAAAGTTGTATAAAATATCAACTTTTCACTTGAATATGTCTTCAAGGTACAAAGTTATTAAGCACCAAAGACGCTCCCATTGACTTTCCATGTTAAAATTTTTCATTTTTAAAGAAGCCTAAAGACAACAAACGAATTTGCACAGCTTAAAGAAGCATAACAACATGTTCTATGGTCTTTTCTCAACAAGTCCTGAAAGTTTAAACAAAATCGTATCATATAATTTTGTACAATGAGCGAATGAAAAAGTCTCTGCAAAAACGCCCATTGACTTAACATGGGGAGCGAAAAAAGTTCAACTTTGACCTCGTGCAAAGACACGTTACGAAGTTCTGAGGGGTATACGGAGCACACTAGCGTGTACCTGAACGTGTTTGCCATAAAATGCTGGGAAGAAAACCACCTCCTTCTTGGCTCGTTTTCCCGCTATTCGCGATCGCGCAAAAAGTGTTCAAAACCCCATTGACTTAACATGGGGAAAATGGAATCGCACGTGCCACGTGCCACGAGGTTTTAAGCGAGTAGCGACCGGTGCCAACAGGTAGATCGCCTGCGGGAGCCCATACACTGAAATTTTTAAGAAAATCGAGCCACAAGTTTAGGCCTGACCCAAGTTGCCCCAATTCGCGGCCAGACATGCAAAACATAGCCCGGAGAAGGACCGCTCCGGTTGTTTTTCAATAGAAAAACACAATTCTAACGAATAGTGTTTGTCTTTTCAAACAACCTGCGGTTACAGGGACGCTGCCCACTCGCAAGGACGTCCTATGATACCCGTCCGAGGCCAGCCAGGGTGACCAGTGATCACAGGGGAATAGGGCACGCTGTCCACTGGTCTGTGACGGCAACTAATGAGCCGAGCGCAATGGCAGCTAGGGACACAGGTAGGTCGTAGCTGATCTCATTGTATCGTTACCCAATGGTTAGTGAATAACCGAGTGCCTTACTATATTGGCACAATTCCCAGCTTCAATGGACAAAATTATTAGTTCTTGGAAAGGGCGCGCGTAATGATACAGTTCAATGCAACATAAATCACATTATATGACGTGAAGTTATAGAGACGAGACGCTCGGGAGATTTGGTCTTACGACGCCCGGGACCCGATATTGAGGTCCATTTCCTGTGTCATTACGGGCCGTCCGCCGTCGTGAACTCGGTGACCCGACATTGACCCCGGCCGGATCAACTCCCACGGCCGGCGGCGGGCGGCTCGAGCCGTGATGGGCCCATCGGCGACGGGTCCCACCACTGCAGGTCCGATAGACGTAACACGACGTCTCTCGCCCGGCGGCAGCCCCCAGCGATCCGACCGACCAGACAGATCGGGGGGGGGGGGGGGGGGCGTCCCTCGCCCGGTGGCGGTCCCACTGTCCGACCGCCTAGTCATCATACCGCGGTCCGGATGATTGAGTTCACAGAGCACACATTCGAGCACACACATGCCTTTACAGGCGCCATGAATGCAGTGGGATACATGGAGTGCAGCCCAATCTGGTTAGTGGTTGCACAACACGAAAGTTTGAATGAAATGCTTGGAGATTCCCAGACTGATTTGTATGTATCCGTCGTGATGCGCGCTACGCTAGTATTGAAGCTAAAGATCTCAGACGCAGACATGACATTCATTACTTCAGTCCGAGCATTGCACTGGTAGCTACCAGTAACATTTGGCATTTATCGCACTGCTGGTTGCACAAACGTTGCGAAATTACTATTAACCAGCCGAACCGCGACGTCGTATACGGTGCATAAGCCCCATTTACTCTGAGCAGAGCAACACTGGCGACCTTCGTGCGCACATAGCGCTCACAGCATTTACAGGATTGTGAACAGTTGTGCGGGATGGTCTGAATGCACACGCGGAATATTCGGACAGGACCAGGGTATAATGAGGGCAGGTCAGGACGGCCAGTTTGTGTCCGACGGGGTGCCAGACGCCAGTAACCGGCTGCGCAGGTCAGGACCAAGGTACTCCTTCAGAACACTGACCGTCCGGCACGGTCGCTGCGGCACGGAAAGCATTGGGCGGGGGACCTGGTGGAGTCCCGCTTTTAGGCAGCACTGTGCTCAGTCCGAGCCGAGACCTGGGCGG